TTTGAATTTTCCCGTTCCACCTTAAATGATGCTGCATTTACATTCTGGCGCCTCAGGCAGAATTTAAGGTGGAATAGGAAATTCCACAAGAAGCTGGCAAATGAGAAGCGACTTCAGCCTCGTTAAAACAGTTGAACGTTGAGAGACATTTTACAATAAGCTGTTCTACTTTTGAAGAAAAGTTTTCTGGCGGAGATGGGAGGAAAGTGGCTATAGCTAAAGCTTAAAGCAGAGCAAAATAAGTGCGTTTTCGTTTATATTTTTTAATCTATACTACGACATTATCACATACTGAGACATACTGGACATAAAATGTTATGGCTCCCAAGGTGGTTTGATTTTTGTTGAAAGGACAAAATGGCTCTTCTTAACATTTGGCTTGTCGACTCCTAACCTAATCTAGCTTTTAATGCAGAGCGCTCGGGCTCTGCACTTCTACACTTCCAAGTTCCGCCTTTTGTGCTCCGTCAACATTACGTTATAAATAAAATATTCAGAAAATCGAGAAAAAAAGTCACCCAAGTCCGCATCGCGATGCATCTAAGAATCGATTTCCCCCCCACCCCTACTCTTAGATATTCCACAATCAACTGTGAGTGGAACTATTGAAAAGTGGAAGCGTTTAGGAACCACAGCAACAGACCATGTTACAGAGGAGGGCCGCCAAGTGCTGAGGCACATAGTGCATAAAAGTTGCCAACACTCTGCTGACTCAGTAACTGCAGAGTTCCAAACCTCCTCTGGCATTAACATCAGCACGAAGACTATGTGCCAGACGTTTCATGGCACAGGTTTCCATGGCTGAGCAGCTGTATGCAAGCCTTACATCACCAAGCACAATGCCAAGTGTCAGATTGGGCGGTGTAAAGCATGTTGCCACTCGACTCTGAAACAGGGGAAACATATTCTGTGGAGTGAGGGATCACATTTCTCTATCTGGCAGTCTGATGGACGAGTCTGGGTTTAGCGAATGCCAGGAGAACATTACCTGCCTGACAGCATTGTGCAAGTGTAAAGTTTGGTGGAGGAGGGATAATACTATGGTGTTTTCTTTTTCAAGGGTTGGTCTAGACCCCTTATTTCCAGTGAAGGGAAATCTTTATGCTTCAGCATACCGAGACATTTTGGACAACTGTGTGCTACCAACTTTGTGGGAAGAGTTTGGGGAGGCCCTTTTCTGTTCCAGCATGACTGTGCACCAGTGCACAAAGCAAGGTATATAAAAAAAGGCATGGTTGGGTAAGTTTGGTGTGTTATTGTGCTAATAATCTTAAGCTTTGAGTGGACACAAAAGGGTTAAATTCTTTAAATGTCCAATAGAAAACCAGGATTTTTTTCTCCATTGTGTATTGTATAGTTTTAGTCAGGCCTTCAGGGGCTGAACTCAAGACTTTACATTTTAGAATAACCACCAGCATAATTAGAAACTGACAGTGGAATCAACCACTCATGCTTTGATCTCCAATGGGTGGGACCAATTTCCTGAGAAAACGCATGACTGTAGGTCTTCTGGGAGTCCTACATACATCACTGATTTTGAATACGGGTCCATACCACGGCTTTTTACAGTAGAAGTTACTACAAAACTGCAACATACAGGATAAAATATATGTTATTATCGGTAACAAGGTTTAAATAAAATATGAGATGTCTTTTACAAGCTCCTAATGTGTTTAATCTAGAAAAGCCAAAAATGTTCATGTGAATTGCCAGTAGCTCAGTGCTAACATACTATTGAAGAAAATAACTTTATTGTCGAGGTATTTTTTCCTTATTTTTGACATTTATGGCTGGAACTGAAGGCCTAGTTGTAATAGTCATGGTTCAATACAGTATAATATACATGAGACAAATGTATGACCCAACGTCCTGACACCGTATAAAAACAAGTGTTTGTGTGTGTGTGTAGGCCCAGACAGGCCTTGGCCCGTTCTCTGGCCTGCAGAGAGAGCTGGTCTCCCACACAGATGTTCCATGTCCTCTGACCTTAAGCTGAGGCCCAGCTTTGTGTGTCACAGAGGAGCCCGGCGTGGGGGCGGGGGCGGGGAAAGAGAGAGAGAACGAGGGAGAGAGAGAGAAAAAAAAAGAGTGAGAAACGGGTGCACAGTGAACTACTGTAAGTGTATGTGTGCGTGAGCCAAGTGTGTGGGGGGTGAGTATGCATTTTTGTATGAGTGTGTGTGTGTGTCAGTAAGAACACAACTTTACTGTATTTCTCAGAGAAAATATTCCTGCGCATCATTAAAGAGTAATATACTGCATTTTCACTCCAGACCTCAGATAAAAGAGCTTTGAGCTTTTCCCTCTGCCGGCTCATCTGGAACATTCTGTCCTCATCACTAAAGCCTATAGGCCTCCATTACACCCCACTTTATTAAATATGAATGCCTTTCGCTGTATAGTAGGAGAGCTTTTCATTAGCAGCACTTAAGTATGTTCGGCCCCACAAAAACGACACGTTACGGCCTTGGAGCAGCTCCTCTTTCTTTCTTGCTGGACCACAAAGATCCCGAAGCATTTTCACCTAAAACTGTGTCTTGTTCCAAGAACATTTGATAAACTTTAAAAAATTTGATAAAATGTGATAATATATATCTAGCATTGGAAATAACAGTTAATTGCAAAAGTTTGGGCACCTGTGGTCAAATTACGTTTTGTTGATTTGTTGAAGTGAAAATAAGTTAACAAACCCTCTACAGAGAACATACCTGCAAATTTTAAGTTCTTGAAAAAAAAAATGTCACTTGTGCAAAAGTTATGGCATATTTTATATTTTATTTTATTTATTTATTTTTTAATATGTTAAACTCAAGCAAATATCTGCATCCAACTGTACATCTATGTAGACAGAAAATAAGAGGTGGTCAAGTATTGCTGAAAATCATTCATTAATTGTGATGAATTAACTTCTAAATCACAGTCATGTAACTTTGTACATGTAATAATGAATTATTGCTGATGTACACTGCCCATCAAATGTTTGGGGACACATAACTTTGGAAACGTTTTTGTCTATTGACAATAACACATTTTTTCCCTCAAATTTAGTGGAAGCCAATTCCCACTCACTCTTTTATCACACGTATGGCTGCACGATGTGCGATGTTCAGTAAAGCTGTCGGATATCAGGATGAAGATATGAGAAGCGATAAATTATTATTTAAATAGTGTGCCCTGACTAGATGTGATGCAAGTACAGAGTTTATTCTGTGTAAACAGAAATATAACTAAGCTCTCCTTTAAGCAAACAGTAAAATACAAAATAACAAAAGCATTATCTACTATTGTGCAAAATAAAAACAAAAGAAATACTAACAGCTACATACATCAGAACTGAAAGCTAATTTTTGTGCACTGAAAGGCTGAGAAACAGCCATCATTACTTCAACACATTTTCAGGTAGAAACACAGGCTACAAAAACAATAAATATATCTACAATTTTTATGCAGGCACACAGAAATGAATACATATTTTTGTTTATTTATTCGTTTTTGGGTTTAGTTATTAAACTGTTGTGACAGTAGCCTTTACCGTCTCGTTAAAACACACTTAAAACACAATACAGAGTGTGAGAACCAGCCTAATGCATGACGTGTTTGTACAGGCTTGTAGGTAAGGATGGAGTATTTCAGCTCTGCATGTGTGTTTTCTGTAATTGGCTGTTTAATCTAAAGGTGACGTTACTCGTCCTGCACCTTAGGCTTCTAATGTGATCTGCTCTGTCATCGCCACGCTTAATCATTGTGAAAACTCATATCATGATAAGCAGCCCTGCTATCAAACTGGGAGGGTAAAGGCTAGCATGTGCTTCCTCTGAGTGACACAAAGCGAGTCACCACATTTTTCTAGCTGGACGGCTCATCATGCTTAGAGGAGAACACTAACTGGCATTTCTGTTACATCAATACGTTCTGCTCGCAGTATCGCACTAAGTGATGCTGGGACAGAGAGAGTAATAAAGGTCAATTATGGTCTCCTGGACCCCTGGTCACAGATGAGGCATGGGGTATCAAGTTCCTGATGACAGTCGCACCACTCTGGAGCCTTGTTTGCTTAACTTTTTAAAAGACTATCCAGGTTTATTTTGAAGAAAATAATATCATAATACACATCACAGCAAATATTTTTCACAATCACTTAAGAACAATTACAGTGCTGTGCAAGTCAAGAGACCACACTTCTGTAATTTAATTTCCAGCCAAAAAGAAATATTTGTAAGGAGATTATATATTAGATAATTCACAAGTATGGGTGAAAGGAAAGTAAGTTTAAAAAAAAACATGAGCTGTCAAAACCGCAAAATATTATTCAAAGATAGAGAGAAAATGGAGCTCCTTACAACTGAGCAAGACCTGGTAGACCACCAACACTGTCACTATCAGATTAGTTTACGCTTAAATAGTCTAACGCTATCGTCTTTGAGAGAGAGGAGAAAATCAAACTCCACTTTTGCTTAAGATCTGAAAAGAATCTGTCCATCCTTCCACTGTGAGAAGACAACTCAACACTATGAGACTGAAAGGATGTGAAGCTATGACCAAGGTCTTCTGAAAAGAATGGAAACTGTAATAAAGGCAAAGGGTGGACATACTAAATATTGAAAATGTTAATAAAAATGAATTAATGGCCATTAAATAAATGAAGGGAGGTCTCTGTCTTTTACTCAGTACATTCAGCAAAATAAAGATTTAACTGCTGCACACAGTTTCTACATACGAACAGTCAGAAATGCATGGAAAAACAGAATTATTGTCTGATATTGTTTTTCTCAAGATATATACTTCAGTATATACTTTAACCTTATCACGGTCATAAAACTAGGCAGATTTTTTGATTTCTATATTGCATTAACCTTTTTTTCTAAAGATAGACCAATAGAAATAGAAATAGAAAAAGCAAACATTTCAAAAACAGATTTTTAACACACAGATCTGTGTTCCCAGGCTCTTTAAGGGCAGTGTGAGAACAAAACGCTTATGGTTAGACTGTCTTTTCTCACCTGAGAGTATCTCCATTTCTGACACTTGATGTTTTCAGGCTCGGGGAGTTCAGGCATCACTTTCTCGAGCTCACGAAGGATCACAGGCTGCACCTCCTCCAGTGGCTCCTCCAAGTGCTGCAGGCCAAAGGGCACGGAGGTATGCACGACCACAGAGGGCCCACATTCATCTGACACTGAATGCACACACACACAAAGATGATTATGAAAAAGTTCATTTTTATAGTTGACTGCTTATTTTTAAAATTGCTTTATAATGCTATATTAGACTCATATGATACACATGCTGTCATTCTGATTATAATACACTACAGGAAGTACGGTGACCACTAAGGTGGACATCTAAGGTTTTGTTGCACAATAAAAGAAGTGGCAAAGAAACAATAGTTCAATTTGTTTATTTATTAAATAAGTGTTGACAGGTCAGTCGATTACAGAAATAATCATTTCCTGCAGCCCTAACATAGCAGCTCTAGTTTGATTATTTGAGTAACTGAGTAATAGTTGATAGATAAATTGATTATAGAAATAACCAACTAACTCAAATCAAATAGCTGTTCATAGGTTAATCAATTATAGAAATAAACATTAGTTGCAGCCCTAGTTTGATGAGTCAGTTAATAGAATATTAATTATTAATTGACATTATTGAGATACTCATGAGCTGCAGCCCTAACACAGCAGTCCCAGCTTCATTAGTCAGTTAACTGAATAAGAATTGACGGGTCAATCCATTACAGATACAATCGTTAGCTGCAACTGCACAGCTCTGTGAGCTCAGGCTTCAGTTTCTCATGCTCCAGCAGATGAAGGAGGAAATGAGAAAAGTTCAAGTTCTGAACCCCCCCCCCACCAATTCCAGCTCATACATTAAGCATCGTGTGGTGCAGCTAAAGATGGCGAACTGAGCATGAGGCAAATCAGCAGTGACAGCTGCGGAAAGAGCAGAGAGATGGACTGAAAATGCCACAATCACTTTCCTGACTGACAAAAAAAAAGAAAACTCTCTTTGAGCACTCTGATTTAAAAAGGAATGGAATGTTCCTGCCATTCCCAGCTGTTTTAGAGAAAAAAAAAAACAAAACAAAAAAAATAAAAAACAGTATGAATCAAACAGATGACTGAGGCAATGTAACTCTTTACCAAGCCACGTGTTTCAGTGCTACTTTTGACCTGCGACACGAGCAGCTTTATTTGTTAGTCAAATTCTCTGGCAGGCTGAACAGGTTTAGTGTGAATGTGGTGTTTAATGGCTGTTTGCGATGGTGTCCAGGCCCAAGGTACACAGTGATATCATCCGTGGGCACTCCGAAGAAAGCCTTCTGAGCTAATGCCTTACAGACGCAGGCCCTTTAGGCTGGTCCTGATTTATTAGACCACTGCGGCATGTAGTCATCTCTCTAATGACACCGTCTTAAAATACACATTCAACCTGATTGGGAGGAATAATGCTTTATTGTGCTCAATAAACGTGGCCCATGTTTGAGCAGCTGGAGATGCTGCGAGTCATAATCTACCCTTGATGGCCACCTGGGGAGGCGAGGGCCTTGGCTGAATTAGGCCGAAGAGAGTGAGCGAATCTAAATATTTAAAGTTGTTGGCAGTCTCACATGGTTGACTCATTGAGTTTATAGTGACCCATGAAGAAGAAGCTTTTTATTTCATACTACCAGTTCGGCCAGATCCATTCTGCTTGGTAAAGTTTGTGAGGTAATGGTGAAATGGCGAGTTATTTAAATCAGGGCTGTTGGCTTCGGCCGAGGGAACACAGTGTCTTGGTGATTCTGGAGGAAGCTTCCAAAAATGAGCTGCTCAACTGGCATGTAGTTAGAGGTGCGGGGGCGAAAAGGGGAAGTGACTTTGGTCCGTTGTATGCAGTCAGTTAATCTGCTAGCTAACTTTATCACAGTAATACTAGACCTAAAACAGAACTACACAATGTTGTCACTGCACTTTCAATCACTGGCAAGTTCAGCAGTGACATGGGGCTGAGCTTGCTCATTTAGCACACTCGTGCTGTATACAACCAACCCCCTCACATTCCTAGACCTACCAGTGTATCAAATCCTCACTCCTATAACTTTATAATAATAACTCAAATAAGCAGTCCTCGTTTGATTAGTCAGTTAATCCTGACTAATGCTGAATTATTGTCCATTATGTCGTGCACTTATATCTACACTGGGTACTGTTCTGTCATGCTATGTCGGCTATTGTGTATGTAAACTTATTTGCTATTGTCACTAAAGCAAAACCAGACCAACCATACATTCTATTCTATTCTGTTCTATTCTATTCTATTCTACTCTATTCATTTGTTTAAGTCACATGATCTTTTTTGCAGAATCTTTGTTAATGACTGTCTTCTGCTGCATTTCAATGGGAGAGCAAAGGTGGACATTAAAAAGATAACAAAGATCAGCTTTGAACAATACATTCAAAAAACAAAAATAATTGGTTTGATTCTTATTTAGTTAGTAGTTACAGATTAACATTAAAAGTCTTTAATCTCACCTGCAGATAACATCATCTCACACATGGGAGACTGAAGTTTGTTTTCGCATTCAAGATCGCCACTGCAAATAATAAAAGTACTTAGGCTTACTCCTCAAGCTACACTTGAAAACAGACAACTAAATATAATCTCTAATTTGTAATCATTTGTCTTTGTTACAGCTGCCATTCTTTTTGAGAGATTTATGCTCAGCTTTTCAAACAAATCTACAGGAATATTTTTCCACACCTCCAAAGTTCAGTCTTTGCGGCTGGTTGTATTTTCTGCTTCATATGATCCAAGTAATATGAAAAACATTTAGTAATGCTAGGCTCCGGGGTGGTCAATACATTGTTCTATACATGACACTGTTTCAAAGAAATCTGCAGAGACATTTTTCCACAACTCTAAAGTTCAGTTTTCTGCTTCATGCGATCCATGTAAACATTCAGTGATGTTGAGGTCTTGACTTGGGGTGGTCAGTTAATTGTTCAGAAAACAACAGCAGCTAATCTGTGTAATTTTCACGTTGTTCTTTTTTGTCTATTTCCTTTTCTCAGTAACTTCTTCTTGACAGCAGCACATCCTTTCAGACCATAATGTTGAGTTGTCTTCCACAGTGGAAGAATGGACACAAGCGCCTGTAGATTTTTTCAGATCTGAAGCGAGATTGGAGCTCGATTTTCTCCTCTATCTCAAAAATGAAAGCTTTAAGTGCAGTTTATCTTATGACGATGTCTCCTCAGAAATATCCCCTGTATCTAATGTCTAATCTCCTCAGAAATATCCCCTGTATCTAATGTCTAATCTCCTCAGAAATATCTCCTGAAAAATCAATAGTGTGTACTTAATGGACATGAAATAAATGAAGGGCAGTCTTTGATTTTTGGACAGTACTGTAAATACAAAGAAGCTGAAGCAGAGCTGAGACTAGACTCTGTAATTTGATGGACTTGATAACCGAAGGTTTGGACTTGAGCTTATCACCAGGGTTGGCGCACAAATGTATCTGTACAAGGGCAAGTGTATTATCTTTACGAATAATAGCAGTAGGGTCAACACATTGCGGCTGCAAGACAGAGTGAGAGCTGCTTGCTTTGGAATTTGGTGTCAAACAAGCCAGGCACATGGCACAAAGCCAAGTAAATAGTGGCGGAAGAGGGGGAGAGAGTAAAAGAGGGAGAGAGAGAGAGGAAGAGAGAAAGAGAGAGAAAGAGAGAGAGAGAGAGAGAGAGAGAGAGAGAGAGAGAGAGAGAGAGAGAGACATGGACAAAGAGAGAGAGGAAAAGAGAGAGACAGGGAGAAAAAGAGACGGAGAGAGCCAGAGAGAGAGAGAGAGAAAGAGAGAGAAGTTGGGGGTGTGTGTATGTGTAAGAGTGTGAGAGAGCGAGGTCATGGTGTGTGTGGGCAGAGGGCTGGCACTGTGCCTGCTGGCTGAGTCACTTTATTTGTTGGTGTGGGGCAGTGCGGGTCACAAAGTTCACAGGGTGAAGAGCAGGCAGGCAGAAAATAACCCGTCCTGAAAGTGGCCCACATTCATATTAATACACCATCTATTTTCATAAAAATCAAACCTTTGCATGATAATCAATCCTGTTTGCAGCCAAATCTTTTTTTATTTAATGACTTCAAGAACACAATCAGCCTTTTTTTCCAGAAATGCACTAAGATTTACAGCAGCTAAACCTTAACTCTTAGAAGTCAAGTGTTGTTAGTTTTATTTTGTTATATCGTTCAAATGTAATTACACAATTATATATTCAGTTACACAGTGATTTATACAATGAATTACATTTACAGTGCTGTGTATGAGTCAGAGCTCAGCATTCGCATATTCATTTCCAGTCAAAACAGCCATTAGGTTCAACTTACTCATTTTTCAGCGTTAGAAAAAAGAAAATGTGTTTAAGAGAAAATTACACAGAAACCTCAACTAATAAATATATTATTCATTTTTAAGTATTTAGCGCGTCCCCCATTTCAGTTTATTTCAGCCGTCATTTCTTTCTGGGGACTTCTTTTTGAAGAATGTACAGTACTGAGCAAAAGTCAGAGACCTCCCTTCATTTATTTAATGGTCATTAAGTTAGTCATTCTTAGCAACATTTTCAATATTTAGTGTGCGTCGTAGAAGTTGGTTGGATTATCTGTTTCTCACGTCAGTCCACTGTTCTGAAAACATCAGCAGCTCCTTTGTGTGGTTTGCAATTTTTTTTTCCTTTTTTAGTCTCTTTAAGGGGAACCCAAAAGTGTTGTTTTGGAGGCCAAAGTGTAATGTTTGTGGTGGATCACAGTTACATAGTATAAAATACATTTGTTCTCTTTCTGGGTGAGGGGATGAGGTCAGTGTAACGTTCTGGCAGGCCAAATCAAACATCATCATTATCAGCTTTGGTGGTCTACCAGGTCTTGCAGGAATGGTCATTAGGAATCCAATTCTGTCTGTATCTTTTAACACTCTTTTGAACTCTTTGTACTTGTTTTCCTTTCACTTTGACAGAGTTTTTTGACTTACATTCTGTACTTAGAACTTACAGGTTTAAGTCTTGTAGTTCTGCTTGATTTGAAATGTCAAATAAGTGACAAAATTGTAAAGGATGCTTCGTTGTTCTGCAAACAAACCTATACACAATAATATTATCTCATCATATTCAAATAAAATATTTCCGCTTCTACTTCCAAACACACATGTGCTTGAAAGTTGAAAGTATCTGCACTTTTGACAAACATTTGAATGTTTCAATGAGCTACGAGTAAGAATTATTACAATTATTGTCAAGTTGCACTATGCTTTTGTTAGCGCTAACTTTGACTTTTAAGGGTTAAAGGCATTTCCTTCAGCTAGATGTGCTGCACTGTTGAAAAGTCTTAATTCTGCAGACTGTTTCAGACATTTCAAAGCAAGCGGTCTGCTTCTTGAGTTCTTATTCAGGCCTACTTAGTGGAGCTACAAGCAAAATACATTACACAGATGAAACTGAAGATTAAAGCTCAGCAGTAGGGAGGAAGAGGGAGGATGGCAGGGAGCGTTCCAGCCTGAAAGAACACCGCAGCCGAATGCAAAATTTAACAGCGGCGCTAATTAAGATGTTGCCTTCGGAACGGCAGAGTGAATAAAAGGTGACAGGTGTGGCGGCCCTTGTGATGAGGCTTAACTCTGTCTGGCAGGCCTGCGCATACATAAACGAATGCACGCTTTTCTGGGCGTAACACACACAAACACACTGTCTATCAATCACACACACATTCCTAATTTATAAGGGACATGGTTCCCAAGTTTAGGATTTATAAATTTATATTCATAAAGTGGCTGGTGTTTTGTGTTCACTTGCGGGGGGGGCTGAGCTATAGCTTGTGTAGTGGTGGAGCTAATTAAGCAGTGTGTGAGCTGTATGAGTTGGTGCTGAGGTGAGCCTGTCCTCAAATCCACCCCCGCCTCACATCAGTAATGAGTACTGACATCACAATCACCCAGAACCCCAATCATCCCAATCATTTACAGTTTCTTACAACTTAACAAGAAATTTCAGTACTGAGTTCGCCTTTATAAAACTCCTCACACAGTTAGTGCAACAGCATTCTGTTTGGGCCAAACCATGAACAGTTTTGTCCTTGTTTGAATACAATATGGATATAGTGATCATAGTTTCCAAAATTCTTTGATTCTCTTTACAAATAACAAAACAAAACAGTTTAACAAAACAGTAAATTTCTAGAGCTCAATTATGAAACACTTACAAACAGTGTTAAAACTGTTACACTATTCTCCAAAATCTAACCTGAAAATAAACTGCACATCAAGTTGCTAAATCACATTTACCATTTGGACAACAATCAAAGCTCAAAAAATTATAATGTTATGGACACAAACTGCTGATTGTGCATAAACTGGCCAACCACAACTGATTCCCATCTGAGCTGACGTCTAGACTACTAATATTTCATTTGGTAACAAACAATTTAACTGCTTTTATTCAACCCAAATAAATACTTTTAATGAAACAATGCAAACTTTTAGTTTAGATGAACAAAATCAATATTTTACATAATAAAACACTACAAAATCAACTGTTCACATAATCAGCAAAAAAATAAAAAATAAACTAATTACAATAGGAAACAGAACTACAGAGCAAGTAACTCTTTACTACTTAACAGATTTAAATAAAATTAGCGGGTCAACCTTAATGCCATCACACAATGCTATCATGTTGCAAGGGAGAAGGCCACCAAACTGCCATTAATATCACATCACTGGTCCGCTCAACTTGCTTGGAGGAGAATGCTAACTACAACTCTGCTACAACAGCTAGCACTGTGCTAACTGACAGGGAGAGAGGGCACCATCCTACTCACTCAGAGAGATCAAGGCCAATTATGCTCTCTTTGACACGGATGGCTGTGACATCGTTGGGGATCGAAGCTGTAATTTCCCAAAGATAGAGCCAAAGCTTAGAAGGTTGTGAGAGACAGTCAGATGGACTTTCCCACTTGGTCATGAAAGCAGCATTTGCCTGACAGCAACAGAACATCTGTGTAGCTAAAAACAGTAGTAGCAACCAACTTCAAGCCTGAATTTTGTGTGTGGAAACAACATAAGCAAGGCTGTTTAAGATTACTTAACTGGACGCAGCTTAAGACGACTGAGTGATGATTTAGACATGTAGTCTGCACAGTGCTAACTGGTGGAGCATATGGTGGAAGCAAGCTTGATACAGAAAAACTGACAGAAAAGCTGTGTAAATATGTGGCAAATCTTTCACTTTAAAGATGCTTAGAGCTGTCAGGTCAATGGGAAGAGGCAAATGGGGATGTTCAATTAGACAGAAACTGTTGTGCAATGCCTTCATTTAACAGCTGCCATTTATAGACTGGGAAAATATGAAGAGGAAGATCAAGAAAAAGAAGAGGAGAGGAAGAAGAAGGGGGGAGACCCCAAGAGAGAAGGACAGAGGGGGGAAGAGAAGAAAAGAGTATGAGAAATGATTTGAAGGGTTGAGAGACAGTGAGTGAGTTAAAGTGTGTGCATGTGTGTGTGAGTGAGAGAGAGAGAGAGAGAGAGAGAGAGAGAGAGAGAGAGAAACTGAGGAACTGACCTAAATTGCGCTTTTTGTCGTCTATAGCGATGTAGCGAATGCAGGGATTATTGGAGACATACTTGGCTGCCCAGGGGACGCTGATCTGCACGCCGGCTTTGTAGAAGAGTCCCAGAGCAAAGCGAGAGGAGTAACTGACAGCCTCCAGCTTCTGCCTCTCACTGTCCTTCAGCACTGCACACACACATACAAAAAGACAGTACAAGATCAAGCCACCTGCCAGCCTCCTCCATCTCCTCACTCTTACGTTCATACCATGAGACAGCAGTGTGCACAACGTGTGTATGTATTTAACTCTTACTGAGGACCAAACAGCTGCATGATAATAGGAAAACATGATAATAAAGATGCACAGACATATCAGAATCATATTGGATTGGACATCTTCATTTTCATGACATACAGGACTGTGCAAAAGTAAGAGACTACCCTTAATTTACTTAATTTCCAAACAAAACAGCCACAGAGTACATGTTGTTAATTTTGATAATTTTTAGATAATAAAATACTCCATTTGCATAAGGAAGGGGAAGTCAAAGAAAAATAAGTGAATAAAAGGGAGATATAGAGATATCTAGACAATCAAACTCCTAAAAATTGTGCAAGACCTGGTAGACCACCAAAACAATTATCAAATAAACAGTAGTTAAAGCTTTCAACTTTGAGAGAGAGGAGAAAATCAAGCTCCACTCTTGATTCAGGTCTGAAAAAATCCACAGGTGCTTCTGTCTATCCTTCCACTGTGAGAAGACAACTCATCACTATGAGTCTGAAAGGATGTGTAGCTGTCATGCAGCATTTACTGAGAAAAGGAAATAGACAAAAAAGAAGAAAACTTCCAAATCAAAGAAACTGCTGGTTTTCTCAAAACAATGGACTGACCACCCCGAAGTCACCGAATGTGTTTACATGGATCGTGAGAAGCAGAAAATTGAACTCTAGAGGAGTGGAATAATGTCCCTGCAGATTCCTTTGAAAAACTGAAAGCAAGTCTCCTGAAAAGTATGGAAGTTGTAATAAACTTTTATTTTTTTTATCCAGACGTCTGAAGCATTTTTCTATGAGCTACCTACCCTGTGAGACGGCAGAGCAATATTCAGACTATTGAACAAGTTCACTGGAAACAGCTCATGAAGATAGTTTTACAAGACATGCTGTGTGTGTGTGTGTGTGTGTGTGTGTGTGTGCCTCCAGGCTCTCACTGATCAAATGGGAGGAACTCTGTACCATTCAATCAAACGTCCTCTTAGCGCTCAGGCTGGTGACATACACTGGCAGTCAAAAGGAATTGCTCAGACACCCATGTGTCATACGCTGAGGTTTAGCAATGGCGCTTGATGTGTTTGAAGGCATCTGTGCCTTCTGTTCACTTAAAGGAATACTCCAGTGTTTTCCAACCTAATCCCTATTTGCTGCCTCTGTAGTATATGGTCAATTACAATGGACTATAATTTTGACACGTTCCCCTGTGTTTGAAAAAGCACAGAAAACCCACTGACTCAAAACACATTTATAACAGAAGCCAAAGGCCGTTGTAGACACCGGAGATTTCAGTTTTACACTTACAGGGAAATTACTGTCAGTAGTAATCAACTGTTTGCTACAGATGCAGCATACAGAGATTAGGCTGAAGAGTGCTGGAATATTTCTTTAAAGGAGAAAAATCACAAAAAATGACTGGATATTCGACAAGACAATGAAACATGCCACATCTCTAGTCAAATGAAGAAGTGGTTTGAGGAAGAAGAAATTAAGGTGATGTAATAAGAAATGCCATCACCAGATTTAAATCCCACTGAGAGCTCATAAAATGGACAGCAGTGAAGGATGTATGCACTGTAAAAAAATATGTGGCTTTTAAACTTTAAAAAGTCAGTAACTGGGTTAACTTGAAACTAAAACTTAAAACACAAACTTTTCTACTGTTAACTAAACCAGTTACTTTTTTAAGTTTACAAGCTACATAATTACAGGGTGGGAAGCAGTTCCTTTAGGTATTAAAAAACCAACCAACCAAACAAACAAACAAAAATGATAAACACTCTTAATTGACTGCTTCCTATGTTTGCATTCCTTCACTATTACAAAAATGTTGGAAAAATACCATTTTAATTTAATTTTATTGTGAGTTTTGGTTGCAAACAAAAGAGTTAAAATCTTAAAATGCCCAACAGAAAACTTTCTAGGTGGACAAAGCCAAGCCAGCGCTCTCTCTCTAATTCTTTAGGAGATGAACAAAACCCTAACACATCAGATAAATCAGCAACATAATTAGGAATCAACCAATCACGTTTGGTAGAATTTCGAGAGAAAACCATCACTTTAGGCCTTCTGTCAGTCCTACATACATCACTGACTGTGAACACAAGTGGTAGCCTGGCTGATGGGGCCAGTTATTAGTAATGAACAACAGTGGCACCTCTATGCCAGCACACTTTTCTGAAGGACTAAAAAAATGTATGTGAATAAGCTTCAGATAAAACACTGAGTGTCTTTTACAAGCTTCAAATGTCCATGTTTGATCTAGAACGGCCAAAGAATGTTCATAGCTTAGCGTTAACATGCTAGTAGAAATTCCATTTGGCTGCTAGAAGAAGTTAGCATTATCACAGAGGTGTTTTTTATTTCATTTTTTGACCATATTTTGACTTCTGTTGGCCAAACTGAAGGACTAGCTTTCAGCAACAGTTAAAAGCACATGTTGAAAATCTTTTGGCCCAAATGTGTTTTAAACAGGTTTGCATACTGATGAGTGCTGACATCACAGCAAGGGGATAAAATGTATGGAGTATGGCATTATTCCCAAGGTAGTGCCTTCATCTATGTCAACTTCACAATTTTTGCTAAGAAAAAATTATACGAGTAAAAAGAAAGGAAAAAGACAAACACATTTCTATTTAGTATATCAAGTTATTGGAAACCAACAAGGAAAAATGTTCATTTGTCTTAAAACATTTAAAAAGCTAGGTGTCCCCAAACACCTAGTGTTGTTTAGTGTTGTGTAAACAGAAATCAATATTACAGCACCACAGGGAGACAAGTTAATGTTTAAAGACCGCTGAAAGCTACTGGCTCCAGGTACACTTCACCACTTAAGCCTCTAATAGATCCTGATTTAGTACTAGATCGAGTACTAGTACTAGTAATATTTAAACAGACTAGAGTTCTCAGTGCTAAATGCAAATATGGACATACTGAAGGAGCAAGGAGCATTTGGCCTTTGGATATTTGTTCTTTTTTCCTTCTTTTTTTTTTTTGGAGGAACCTTGTCCTTGTTTCCGGTGGGGAACATCTGTTGTTTATTGGCCCAGGCAGCTCACGCTTGGCCCTGCTTTAGTCATCTACGGCCCATGGGTTCTGAGTATAGCAAAGGTTAGAGTTCACTCCTGAAGAATCAAATACATACTTCTTAAACTCAAAGGCTCCCCTGTTTCCACTGAAGGCAAGGCAACATGAAGGTTGCAGAAAATGAACAAAGAAAGAGAAACTCGCAAAGGATTAGCGACCGAAATGCAAGTCTACAGATGTTCCGCAAGCTTGCTAAAAATAGTGAAGTGGAGTCCAAACTTATCAATGGGCTTATAAACATGTGAGAACGATCAAAAGAAAGGAACATGTAACCCGCTGCTGCTTCTCCGATGAATCAATGACCATATGAAAGTGCTTGCTGCGGCTGGGTGGTTTTGCACAACAAAAGAAGATGCCATGCAAGCCCCCCCCCAACCCGCCAGTCCACTACAGCAATCCAGATGAACACTGAGAACACTTCACCAAATGCTTGCTTAATTAGGGAGCAAACAAATCCTAACCGCAGAAGAAGACGACAGCTCGAAGTCAACAGGTCACATGACCGTCCCAGGACGAGCTCCTTTTATCATTTTCTGTGTCATTGCAGAACATCTGGGGGGGATTAGGAGCATGTAAATGTGCCCCTTGGTACGGAGAAATCTGGTGCTGCATCTGAGCACAGCAAGCTTGGGGACAGCGCAGACCCTCAGGGTGGAATTCATAAAGAGCCTTTCTTCTTTTCTCGTGGTAATAGAATCTGGTCGCGGAACATGCCATTGTTAAACGGCACAAAAGAGCTTGACGCAGGATGTGTCGTCTGATGACAATGCACCACAATGCATTTCTTGCTATGCTAACATTTTCTGCCCAAAATAGAATACATGTATATTTGCACCTGTTACAATCACATCCCACTTCATCTTGATTGTACATTTAGTTTAAGTATGTGGATATGCATATTAATCCCTTAAAATCCCAGGCTTATTACATACTAAGGCTTATTATACAGTAATTACAGGGACTTCAATGCAAATGGGTTGAACTATTTTTAGATTATAGAAGTGTGTAATAAAACTTTAGGCCCATGGTCATGTAAGGGTTAAAGGGAATAACATCATGGCTGCAAGCTGGCCGCTGTAGATCAGGTAAACAGTCAAGCAAAGAATCTCTGAGCATTGTTTCAAATGTCTGTGTTTTAATATTCTTCCACCAAAAAAAGTAAATCTAGCAGGTGAAAAGTGAAGCACGCAAAATTGTTATTTAGAAACTTTCTGAATAGCATTTTTCCCAGTTCATTTAGTCAAAAGTTCTCCTTTTTTGGGGAAAAAAACACACACTTTTTATGTACTCTATCTCAGTTAGGTTGACAAAAGACAAAAAAAACAAAAAAACAAAAAAAAACAAACAAAAAAAAAACAATCAAACAGCGAATGTGGTAGACTGCCTATAAGCTGAAATTGCAAAATTGATTTAATTGATAATACCAACTTACAGGCTATGAGGGCTTTCTTCTCTCAAACTCCTAATCACGGAGGGCTGTGGCACTGTCAGGATTCAAACTCATGATTTCTTGACAGGATCATAGGATGTCTGTACTTTGATAAGTAATTGTTATTTTTTGTTATTTTGTAAAGTATTGAAATCATCTTTGAAATGTGTTACTGAACATGTTATTATATTCTCATAGTTTTTTGTAATGTCAAGCCATCAAAATGGTGCAACTTTCTAATGCTGCATTGAATGTTGAAAAAAAAAATGTTCCGCACCTTACAGCACTATACAACCGAAGACGGCATGAAGCTGTGCAAACGTTAGAATGGTGACATCACTACCGGTGAAAATGGAGGAGAGCTTTAGCAGTGTAAATTGTTCATTTAGGTGGAAAG